CGAATCCAGCATCGACTAAATACATCCATACACTGGTTGGTATCTCTAACTTAAAATTACGAATGAAGAGATCTAATATATGGTCTCTCTCCTAATTTAATAAATATTATAAAAATTAAAATATAAACTAATACTAAACAAATTAAATAAATAAAATATTAACAATAATTAAATTAAAATATAATTTAATATTGTTACTGTATTAGCAAATTGTTAAAAACATTTTGATGTTTCGATATAACAAATTAAGTTTAAATAAATTTTAAGATTTTACAAAATATTTTCTAAGTATATTCAATTTAATTAATTGAATATCAAATTATTACTCAAAGTCTTTCAAGTTCAAATTCAAACCTTACTAAATGTGTAAAATTGTGTTTTATACTTAATATATTTTTGAAACAATTTTCACAAAATGATGTTTCGATAACAAATTAAGTTTAAATAAATTTTAAGATTTTACAAAATATTTTCTAAGTATATTCAATTTAATTAATTGAATATCAAATTATTACTCAAAGTCTTTCAAGTTCAAATTCAAACCTTACTAAATGTGTAAAATTGTGTTTTATACTTAATATATTTTTGAAACAATTTTCACAAAATATTTGAACCAAAACCAAGCCTAAAATCAATTTTCAGAGTGATACACCGATGCACCAATCCATGCATCGATACACCAATTAATTTTTCAAACATAGAATGCATTTTATGCATCGATGCACTCAGTGCATTTGATGCATCGATGCACAAGACCATGCATCGATGCACTCAGGCTTTTTCAAAACATCGAATGCATTTTATGCATCGATGCACTCTTAGTGCACCGATGCACTCTTAGTGCACCTAGGGTATGCATCGATGCACTGACGCTCCCAACTGCTTTAATTAATTGTTTTCACACTTAATCGGCTCTATTGACTTCACTAATCATCCCCATTCAGAATCATTTGAAGGTGTATTTAAACAGATTAGAAGCCATTGATCAATAACAAGAAACAACAATCAACTATCAAGAGAGAATCAAAGAGAAAGTATCAAACCTCAAGTTTGAGCATTTCAAGCCTATTTTTCATTCATATCATTTTGCTTTCAAGAACACACTTGTACTCAATTGTATTCATTTTTTAGTGTTCTTTTCTTTGTTCTAGAATTGTGCAACAATTTACCTTGTGAGGATTTCCTTGTAAGTTTGCAAATTTGTAATCTTCTCTTTGAGAAAGAGTGTTCTCAAGAATTGGATATATTCTTGAGGGAGTTGTAAGGTTATCTCTTTGGCTTTAAAATAAAGAACAAATTAGTGAATTTCTTGGAAAATCCTTAGTGTGGATAGCTAAGGTAGTGGACGTAGACTTTGATTGAGAAAGTCGAACCATTCTAATCGCTGTGCAATTACTTTCAATTTTCTGCAAAAGCTTCCACAAAAATTTCAATTGCCAATTCACCCCCTCTTGGCCATTTCGTCGATTGATTAACTCAACAAAATGCATCGAGATATGATGTTCATATAAACATAGCAAACCACCTTCCATTTTATAACTACAAAAATAATAAATTTAATATAAAATTTAATAAAATATTAAATTATTAATTTATTATAATACAGTAAAATATTTATCTTAATAAAATTTGAGCTTTGAGAGAATTTCAGAGGGTTTAGATGTTTGTGTTTGGTTTGTGATTGAATAAAGTGGGGGAGGGGTTACCCAAATTTCCCATAAATGTGGGAGGTGTAAACAGTTGGGATATTAATGGAAGGTGCAGATGGCGATCCGCACCTGTCTTTACGTGACGTCAGCTCGGATAAGGCGCGGATGACCATCCACGCCTTTCATGATGTGGCGCCAGCTCGGACGAAACCCTACAAAGGCGTATATGACAATTTGTGCCTTGTTAGAAATGGTGCTAGATCGGTAAAATTTGGAGAAAGAGTGATAGATAATTATTACTTGTCATGAGAATATTTCCGTAATATGCTATCTGCGTATTTATTCTTAATTTTACGTTTTTTTTTCATAATCAGTTTCTTTAATTTTTTTTATTTTGGTTATTTAAAATTAAATTATAATTTAATAAAATAGTTATATTATATAATATATAATTATTTAAATTTATATATTTTATTAAATTTAGAGGTTATATCTTCATTGTTATTCTTTTGTTAATCATGTCATAAAATTTTTAGAGTTTCTCAAAATCTTCAATCTCTCTAATTCTATATAACTTTATAACAAACGATCATAACACCCTTACGTGATCATCAATACATTATCAATTAAACACATATAAAATATCACGTAAATAACGAGATTGTCTCAGGAAAGACGAATTAATACGACTAATATACGGTTTACCAGATATATTAAAGATATTTGATAAATTCGGTTTAGCGCTACTAGAAATATCGAGTAATATAATGTAATAGGTGGAAATCATGAAGAAATATTAAAAAATTTGGCAACCGACAACTTAGTTTGTCGGTTTGTGTCGATACTTTATAAAAATATTGATCCATAACAATATACGGTAAAAAAACGACAAAACCAGTCTATAAATGACAAAACAGGTAAAGCGCTACCGAATATATTGAAAGTGTCGATACTTTATAAAATGTATCGATCCATAACAATATAACAGGTAAAAAAAGACAAAACCGGTCTATAAATGACAAACATGTAAAACGCTACCGGATATTGAAAGTGTCGATACTTTAAAAATGTATCGATCCATAACAATATAACAGGTAAAAAATGACAAAACCGGTCTATAAATGACAAAACAGGTAAAGCGCTACGGATATATTGAAAGTTTCAATACTTTATAAAAATGTATCGATCCATCACAATATAACAGGTAAAAAAATGACAAATCGGTTTATAAATGACAAAACAGGTAAAGCTACCGGATATGTGATAGTGTCGATATTTTATTATAAGTATCGACACTTTTAGAATTTAAAAGAGAAGAAGTTATAGCGCTAATAAGTGTCGATACTTTATAAAAATGTATCGATCCATAACAATATAACAGGTAAAAATATGACAAAACCGGTCTCGAAATGACAAAACCGGTAAAGAGCTACCAGATATGTTGAAAGTGTCGATACTTTATTATAAGTATCGACACTTTTAAAATTTAAAGAAAAAAAAATTATAGCGCTAATAAAATGTCGATGTTTTATAAAAATGTATCGATCCATAACAATATAACAGGTAAAATGTGACAAATCGGTCTCGAAATAACAAAACCAGTAGTAAAAAAGTGTGTTTGTGTGGTTTTTTTCTAGAATTTTCATTTTTAATACAAAAAGTTGGATATTTTAAACAAAACTCAGTAAAAAAGATCAAAAACTTTGCAGTAACAAAGAATAACATTGGGAAACCCACCATGTTATCAGTTTCTCAAAGAAAAAATAGAAACAGTAAATTTACAATGTAACCGGTAAAATATACTGGTTAATTAGCAAATATGTTTACATTATGTATCGACACTCTTTAAATATGTATCGATATTTTTTTTTTCCCAAAATGAAAGCACACGAGGTGCACGCATAAAGTGTCGATACATTTAAAATTGTATCAATCTCAAAAACACAAAATCGATAATTATAATGTAATAGGTAAATTTGTAATGTTACCGGTTTAAATATACATGTTTAGTTAGAAAATATGCCAATATAACGCTTATTACATTATAATAAGCGCTACTTAATATATTATTATACTTAATAATATTTCCGGTTAAATGATATAACATAACCCGTCTAAATTTTAATCGATTACTTATTTAACAGGTCACGCCGTTTTTTAACCGTTTTTATGCGCCACACAGCAGAACCATAAATAACATTTGTTGACTGTTACTCAACAAATAACTTCTAACATGAAATATTTTAACCAAAAGTTAAAACATTAGAATTAAAATACTAAAAAAAGGAATAAAGTGACCACGCAAACGTTGATGATTAATTTTGTCATCGTGCCAAATATAAAGAAATGAATATTAAGTATATTAAAAAATAATTACTCTATTATTTTAAATGGAGAATATTATCTCTAATCCGAATCTAATATGACCCTAATCCAAATTTTCAAAACTTCCCATTTTTTTATACAATCAAGTCAAAACTCATCAAATCTCGACTTTTAGAGTTTTAAATAAGATGAAATAAATTGTGAGCTACTTAAATTTAATTTGGTTAAAATTTAAATCGAGGTCGAACTCAACTCAAGTTCTTAGCGAGTCGAAATGAGTTATTTAATATCCAACTCGGAAAGCTCTCGAGCAATTCAAAAAATAATATATTAAATTTTTTTTTTTTAAAAATAAATTATTATTAATATTAACATTTATATGTTATATTTTTAAAAATACAATATAAGACTTTAATGTAATTAAAGTTCAGGTTTGAACTCAAGTTTAATCTTGAATCGAGCTCGAGTTTCAATTGAGCTAAGTTTGAGAATGTCTCGAGTTCAAGTTTTTTCAAGCTCAAATCGAGCTTCAATTTTTTTATTTTGAGTCTAGTTTGAAAATTTTAAGTTTACAAGCTTTATAGTCAAGTTTTAATTTTTAATTTAGAGTTCAAGTCGAATTTAATAATTTTAAATTCGTAAATTTTTTAAATTAAATTAAATTTTAAACTTTTTAAATCAAATCGAACTCAATAATACTTAAACTCAATTAAATCGATTTATATCCCTAATAACCATCCCTAATCAAGAGTAAGAAAGAATATTCTCTTTCAATGCAATCAACCAATAAAGCGATGCCAAGTAACAAACTAACCTGAGTTCGCCACGTGAATAGGCATCTTCCCGGGTTCTCTAGTAAGATCAAAATCAAAAATCAAATCCCTACTTATTATTATAATACAAACACATTTCCCTATTCGCTTCGAGTCTCGTTTATTTTTATTTCATTTTTTAAATAAATTGAGTTAAATAACTATTATTAGCAGAAATCTGGTAATATTTTGATTTTTTGAAAAAGAAATTCACGCATTTGATTTTGAATTTAAATTATTGATTTCTATTTCTGTTTTTGATTTTTGATATTGGAAAGAGAAGGGATTGAACAGCCGTGATGTTGGGAGCTTTAAGGAGAAAAGTTCCGATTGGAGCTCATCGGCTTCGGTTAGAGCTCTTATATATATATATATAGAGAGAGAGAGAGAGAGAGAGAGAGAGCGAGAGAGAGAGTTTGTACTCTATTCAACTAAATCACTTGGATTTTATTGAATTTCTTTGTCTTTAATTCTTTCAGGTATTAGGGAAGTCATTGCAAGCAATTCGACCGGGTATTTCAGCATCTAGAGCATCTGCCAATGCTGGAAAAGAGGTAAATAATCAAGTGATAATGAATCGGATTTTGTAGTTCATACTTGTTGATTTTGAATTTTGACTGATCTTGATTCTATTTATTATGTAACTGATAGGAGATGCTGGATTTGTTTAGGCCTTTTTTTCTCAGTAAAACGTTGATATAAAGTAAAAAGATGGTAAAGAAGTGCAAGATCACTTTGCTTTTCAATTTTATTTTATTTTTTATGTTGAAGAACAAGTGGTGAAATTGGAAATGGAATTGCAATTCAAACTTAGTTTTGAATGTAAAAATCATGCATTTTGTGTTAATTTATTAATTATTGTTATGTGTTGCTATTTTCACTTCTGGAAGCAAAGACTAAGCAGTAAAATCCATGGTCCGGTGTTTTCATTTTCTCAAAAATATTTGGACTCCTATGCTCGACACATATTCAAACTTGGTAACAGGTGTATATGAAAAAGCTTTTAAAAATTGAGCTAACTTATTGTACACATATTAGTATCTGACTTTCATCCCCATGTCTGATAATGTAGAGTAAAAGCAGTAATCAAATTGAAACTTTTGTGTTTTTTGATCATTTTGGATTTTTATCATCCATTAGTAAATATTCTCATGAGATATGAATTTCATATGTTTGAATAGATTCTATTTCTTTAGCCTAGAGGAATTGACCATGTCCGTGACTTCTCTCATTTCATTCTCCCGGGTAAAATCTTTTGGGCGGTTTTGTTTTCATGTTGGCAATTTTTTCCCCCCTGATATTGAGTGAATCATTTCATGGTTATTACAGGTTGTTCTGTTGGTTTAACAAAGATCAGGTTAGTTTGTTCTAAACTTTCTAATGTACATAAATGGTAGAAACTCTACCTTTTGGCATTTATCTTTACTCGAAACTCTGGCCATATATGGTTACTACTGGAATAATGTGACGTTTCATGTCTAATTACTATATATATCTTCAATAGAAGGTCCATTTCCATGGAAATTAGTTCTCATTCTTGTTTATCACCTAATTAGAATAGTTAGGGCAATTAGAAAACGAAGTCCATGCTCAAATATGTTTCTGTGTGTGTATATTGAAATTCTTTAAATCAGTTTGCTTCTCCTCAGCACTTCTTTCTGCTAACAACTTTTCTCATATGCAGAGATGTCATTTCTAGCATATCGTCAGACAGTACCCTGCAAAAGTCATGCAGGGCTTTCTCCTCCGGAGATGGTAAGATATTGATTAATGTCCTTAATGATATGTCTTTTTCCAAATTAGCATTTTTCTCTTATTGTTTTCTTTTAAAACGTTATTAATACATGGGCGTGTCATTGTGGTTCAGAATTTGTTTCCTGTGCACTACTTGAGGCAACATTTGAAAAATAAGGAAATAGTTTTAGATCAGAAATTCTTATAAATTTTTCTCTGGAAAAATGTGAAGGCGATAGTATGAATTTTTTTTTTGTTGTAATTTATTTATATAATGGTTTGGAGTAGAAATTCTGCTCTACTGAACCTGCATCTCCTTTTTTCAGCACTTTCAGTGCCTTTCTTAAATTGCATATGTTGACGAACAGGTGTTTGCTTGAAAATAATGGCAAGTTCCTTTTATTTCATTATCATGCTAAATTATTGAAAATTTTGACTCCACAATTTATTTGTGAAGGGGATCTGGTTGTTGCTGCTGTCCCTTTTATGGGAGAATCAATTAGTGATGGCACTTTGGCAACATTCTTGAAAAGTATGTTTTCGATTACTTTAATTTCCATTGATCACTCTACGATACTTGTTTTCATTGTTGTAAGTGCTTCATTGTGGATACATGTGAATTGAATTTTTGGGAGCAGAACCTGGTGATTCGGTAGCAGCTGATGAACCAATTGCTCAAATAGAAACTGATAAGGTACTATTCTTGACCTGTTCTTCTATTGAAAAGATGTGGGTTAATACCCCTAATCAGTGTTTATTTTCATCAGGTAACAATTGATGTGGTCAGTCCTCAAGCTGGTGTGCTACAAGAGGTAATTTATTGACAAATTTGGATCTATGGGTTGAATATGTCTAGCTTGTTGGTCGTTCCTAGATTCCTACCTTCTCATTTCTGGAACTAGGGGAGCGATCTGGGTCCTGAACTATAATTTTTTTCCAGTACGTGGCAAAAGAAGGGGATACTGTGGAACCAGGTACCAAGATTGCTATCATTTCGAAGTCCGCTGAAGGTGTAGCACCTGCTGAAAAGAAATCAGAAAAACCTGCTTCCAAGCAATCTCTTCCAGCTGAAACTGTAAAGGAGGAGAAGCCAAAAGCTAAGGCTGAAGCTTCTCCTGCTGTGGAGAAGCCTAAATCCCCTTCTACACCACCTCCAAAACGAACTGCTACCGAACCTGTACTTCCACCCAAGGAAAGGAAAGAAGAGTAAGGGGTTGTTTGTTTACCTCTTAATGAAATCATTCAGCGCTGAATGCTGAACCGTTCAGCATTCAGCGTTTTTGTTTCGCACCTCTGAATGATTCAGTGCTGACTGATTCAGCAAAACAATGCTGAATGATTCAGCAAAACAGTACATTTTGAATCATTCCAGTTATTAAACAGCATGTCACATTCAGAACCAAATCATTCAGAGCCAACTCATTCAGAGTCTCTGAATCATTCAGCGCTTAATCATTTTGAAGTAAACAAACAACCTATAAGTCTTTCATTTTCTATTTGCATCCAAATTATACTTTCGATGAAATGTTAGACTCATAGAAAAGAATCCTGAATGTCTGACATCATGTAACAGGTTTCCTATGACAAGGCTTAGGAAATGGGTTGCTACACGATTGAAAGATTCCCAAAATACTTTTGCTATGTTAACAACGTTCAATGAAGTTGACATGTGAGTTCATTTCCCCCAAGTATTTTAGCTCTCTGTATCAGGTGTTAGGCATGCAATTTGATTCCCTTTTTCAATACAAATTATCTTTGAATTTGATGAGAGCATTTTATAGAGGCTATGGTGTATTCATGATAAATCTGGCCCCATGGATTTGTTTTCTTTTCTTATTGACTTGCTGCATATTGCAGGACCAACTTGATAAAGCTCCGATCTGATTACAAGGATGCTTTTGTTGAGAAACACGGTGTGAAGTTGGGATTTATGTCTGGATTTGTAAAAGTATGAAATGTTATTTTCTTTAAATGCTCACATACTCATTCATGTCCTGCCTTCACTATAACTTTACTTCCTCTTTTTTCCCTTACCGTTTCCTCTCTGTTATTGTTTCAGGCTGCCGTTGGTGCACTTCAGCATCAGCCTATTGTAAATGCTGTAATCGACAGGGATGATATTATTTATAGGGATTATATAGATATCAGCATTGGTGTTGGTACTCCAAAGGTAATCCTTTTTCTCAACTGTCTTGCTTTAACATTCTTTTCATTTACCAAATTGCAATTTAGCCCTTAAAATAACTTGCTGAAGCCTGGATCATTAGTAGTTCTCTCAACATTCTCTTTGCTAATATTTTAAAAAAAATTATAAAGCTGTGGGTTTACGCATGTAAAACTGTATTGAAACCAAAACTTTCCTTTGCCAAATAAAGGACACTATAGACTTATTCAAGGTTTTTCTTAGGTCGCGACTCTTCATTCTTCTTGAAGTACTCGTCTACAACACTTCTATTGGACCTATATAACGACAGAGACCTTCTAGGACCCTGAATATGTGGAAAAACTTAGAAAAAATGGATGTACCTGTGTGATTGTGTCCTACACATATCCATATCCAAGTACTTAAGATGCTTTATTTATTTCATGGCTAATGAGAAAATGAAATGTCTTAAAAGTATACTAGTCGTTTTTTCATTTTGTTTTGATCTTTGCTCCTTTATCTTCCATGCTAGGGGCTTGTCGTTTCGGTAGTCCGTGATGCTGACAAGATGAATTTTGCTGAAATAGAGAAAACAATCAACGGCCTTGCAAAGAAAGCAACTGAGGGGACCATCTCAATTGATGAAATGGCTGGAGGCTCGTTTACGATATCCAACGGTGGTGTTTATGGTAGTCTGTTGAGTACCCCTATTATCAACCCTCCTCAGGTTTGTGGTTTCAAACTAAACTGTATTCACTTACACATGACTTTTTCCGCATCGGTTGAGGTGTTTGATCACTTCCGAGTTTCTCATTTCTAGCTTTTGCTTGCGAGCAGAATGAAAATCTTACATATAACTAAAAGGTTTTTTTTTTCCGGCTATCTTGGGTATGCACTCAATCGTGTCCCGATCAATGGTTGTTGGAGGTAATGTAGAGCCGAGACCGATGATGTACATTGCACTCACTTATGACCATAGGCTGATTGATGGAAGAGAAACGTTTTCTTCTTGCGACGCATCAAGGACGTTGTCGAAGACCCTCGTAGGCTGTTGCTCAAATGTCTAAAAGAGGCCTAAATAGCATCTGTGTGATAATTCTCATGCACACAAACTATCCGAATAATTTGTCTTTAGTTTTGTAGGGTTTCGCCCCTTAAACGAGTTCTGAAATCGCGGCCGGGCATTGTCGAACTGTATTCGAGTTTTTTTATGTTTTGCAATATGCTCTGTTCTTTCTATTTTTATATCGAGTTGTTTTACAGTTTTGGTGCAGAAAGGGTGGGCGTGGTACCACAGCAGGTTGAATGTAATACCCATAAATCAAAATTTGTGACACTTTAAATGTGAAAATTTAGATTTGGACAGTTTAATTTCTTCTTAGATTAATATCTCTAACTGTTATTAGATTAACATCCCTTACTATTTAGGCTTGGGCATTGCATATGTAGGATATGTAATACCCCAAACATCGATCAGTGACTAAAGTGTAAAGATTTAAAATTTAGTGGTTTAATTTTGAAAATTAAAAATTTAAGGATTGATTTTGAAAATTTTTGTCTAGGACTTATTATCAAAGGTTAAAGAGTGGAAGGACATTATGGTTTTTTAGTGGGAATTAAATTTAAAATTCATTTTAAAGGATTTTTAAGCATGTGAGAAATAGAGGATAAAGGAAAAAGAAAAATCTAGAGAGTGTCTTCATCTTCTCTTTTCTTTTCTACCGTGAGCTTCCCCTTTGTTAAGGTAAGTGATCTAAGTTGGTTATTCTTTCATGTTTGAGTTGGTTCTTAGTGCTTGGGTGGTATAGAAGCTTAAGGAATCTTAAAGATGATTAAAAGCTAAGGGATTGAGGAATTAAGAGTGAATTAATAAAATGGTTTTTAAGGGATTGAATAAGATTGATTAGTATGTAGATTTTTAAAGGCACATTTGACTTGTCAAATGTTGAATAAGGAAATAGAAGTATTAGAAAGGATTGGAAACATGTTTGAAGGTTGGGTATGATTTTTAGTTTTAAGTATGTTATGGAGAAATTTGGATGTTAAAAGGGATTAATGAATATAAGTTGATTGAGATATGTGTTAATGAGTTTGAGGGATTGAATAGAGTTAATGATAAGAGATTTATGTGAAGTTTGAGTAAAATTCGAATTAAAATAGATGAATTCTGGGTAAGGGTATCGGTACTGGAAGAACAATACCGATATTATAAGGTTAAATTGAAAGAAATAGTATGAAAATCGGATGAACAATATCGATATTGATTGAAGTAGTATTGATACTGATGTGGAGGTATCGATACCAAGAGTGAGATATCGATACTATAATTGAAGATGAAATTCCATAATACCAAAATGTTATCGATACTTAAGTGGGTATCGATACCATAGAAGAGAAGTATTGGTACTATAGGAAGAGTTCCGATAATATTCAGTCTGAAATTTAAATTAGGAGTTTTCATTCTATTTCTGTAAGTGCCAATTGGTTATCCGTTAATGGAAATTCAGTATTGATCTTAGACATGTTGATGTGTAGATTTGGATCGAAAGTGTACTAGACAAATCGACGTAGTAAGAGATTGAACGAAAGTAAAAGGATTTCGTTTAGGACTTACATGAGGTAAAGGTGAGTGCAACATATTTATTTTATATTAGATATGAGGAAGGCTTGCGATAAGCCAACCTCGAAAGTTTTCGATCGAAAACAATTTTTTTTATTTTATGCAACATTTTGATGATGTTTTATATAAATTGTATTTATGAAGTACTGCTTTGATTTTTATTAGTATGTGAACTTGTTATATGTGAATGTGTTCTACGTGAAACTGCTCCATGCGAATGTGTTCTATGTGGATAAAAGATACTTGAAATAATGTCATGAAAATAATTATATGGTTAAAGCCCAAAGTATATGTATGAGAATTAGAGGTATAGTTGGCATGCCAAGAGTCGAGGGTTCTACGCGGTCCTTCGGAACAATTCTATGTGGTCATTCGGGATAAATTCTACGCGGTCCTTCAGGACAAGTCTATGTGGCACTTCGGTGTAAATTCTAAGCGGCAGTTTCGACTGCAATTATAGTGCACAATCTCAATGTACTCACATACTTTGAGTTCTCAGCGATATGAGTTGGGCTAAAAAACAAATTGAAATAAATTGAATAATGTGTAACAATATACATTATTTTCATGAAGGGTGTATTGGTTTTTATATGCAATATTTTCTCTGAAATGTTAAGCAAGTATTTTTAAATATTTTATTATGTTCATTATTGCCACACTAAGTCAACGACTTAGCGTGTAAGTGTTTTCACATGTAGGTTCCAAGAGATTCGAGGAGTAAAACTAGGAAAGGACAACATACACTTGAAAAATCATATCAGAACAATTTGAAGTGTAGGTGTTTCTTATTATTATGAAATTTTGTTGGCATGTATCATAAAGGTTTAAATCGTAATGCTCTGATCAGTTTTGTAATCATACTATTCCAAGTTTATGAAATTATATGAAGTATTTATTTCATTGTATTTTATATTTATTTATATTTACTTTTGTACGAGGGTTTCGCCACTAAGATTAAAATAAAAGTTTAAATTTTAAACGGATTTTCAAAGAGTAAAAGTTTTGAAAAGTCAACGTGACACCTTAAATTCGTATCTAGGTCGGATATGTGTTGGGGGTGTTATATGATATGTTTGTATTGTTATTAGATTAATTTCTTCTTTAAATTAATTATCAATTTTGTTAATGATATTCATTCTGAAATTTTGTTTATACTATGAAAAAATTCTATTATTACATGTGCATAATCAAAAAATATTTTTAGATCTATCGTTATTTCTATCATTGCATGTTGTAAAAGTTCCGCTCTTAAACGATCTACCATACATCTACAATGCTCCATTATTGTCACGATATCATATTAAGATAACACTAATTAGTATTCAATACTTGATTCTAATTTTATTCTAATATCGTATGTAGTTAATTATTTTTATAATAATTTTTTAATTCTTAAAAAATAACGATTTTGATAGAATCGTACCCATGAGAGGGCGATTTTATCAAAGAGTATACATTTTGAATTTATTTATTTTTAAATAGTTTTATGTATTTTTCAGAAATATTTCTCTAAGTCAACCGGTCAATAACATAACACAATTGAAGCCCACTTTTTTATAAATTTCTTTATTGCTTTATTAAATCTGTGACATAAACATGGGTTTTGCTTTGCTAATTAGGAAACCTCGGAAACTGCAAAATAGAATGTTAAAGACAGGCACAAAGTTAGTCGAACGCCATTTAATGTTTTGGGTAACTTACGCATTTTGTCATCCACCTATTCATAGTTTTGTTTTAGTCACTAATATTTTTTTAAATCATACCTAACATTACGTTTTGGTTCCGTTTTGGTCACATGCCATTAAAAATAATGGAGATATTGATGTTGTCGGAACCGTCTTTCAGTTGGACCTCAGAATTAGGTTTCGACTTGAATTAAATGGGTTAGAGTCGCCACCGATCACTTTAAAACCATTTAGGTGGATCGGACACCATCTTACCCGATCTACGTTTTATCAGAAATGTGTCGGGTTCGGGACGGTCAAGGAAGGATTAGCACCCTTGAACCTCCCTTTTGGTACCAATTAATTTACCGATTGTCTTTATGGCGAAAATTTAAATTAAATTTAAAAACTCGATTCAAATTACTTACCTTCGATCGATTAAAGTATCCCCTGATGGCCTCGAGGATTTGGTGAAGTCCAACTCATCCTCGTTCTTAACCGTTGTTAAGCATAAGACGGAAGCAATTTTCCTGTGAACAATCATCCCAAACATGATTTTCCATTGACAATGCAGTAGGGGACTCCATTTTTCTGCACAAGATCCTCTTTTTCCTTTTAATACGAACAACCTTAGCCACTTCACAAAACGATGCAAATCCTTCTTCGGTGGCAAGCCCCTCCAATACCAACTATTTTGGACACTTCTCAAACAATGGATTGACAACCTTATCTTGGTTTTTCCTGGCACAACTACCTTTCCACCCTTCGGGGCTATTTCGAACCTCCTGAAGATTTCTCGAGCTTTTTGTGGTTGAAGAAAACTGTTGTTTAGTTCAATGTAAGGATCAATGAAACCAAAATACAGCTCGAATGGATCCCAGTATTGTTGTTGATGATCAACTTGAACTATTTCATCGTTAGTGCACTGGAAATCAGTTTCCCAGTTCGAGTATGAACTTAAAACCATGGTAGCCGTTGGAAGAATAAGAAAGCTACGAAAATGTATAGAGAAACTCATAAAAGTATCGAAAGATTTAGTGGTGAATTGACTTCCCTCTCCATTTTTTCCCACGAAATGCTTCCCCCTAAATATTAAAAATTAAGAGCCTTTTATAACCAAAGAGAGAAGAAGTTAATATTCATGTGGCCCCCTATCTAGATTTCCACTTTCCTTTTGAGAGAAAAAAGGAAGAAAACGTGCACGGTGGGTGGTAATGGTGGGGTAATGGGTTGTTTGTTAGAATGGTGGTTGAACATGGGACCTATAAAAAAAATAAAATAATAAATAATAATAATAATAATATAATATAATATAATAAAATGTTTTTTAGACCCGGACAAAAATAAGTGTCTACAGTTGCCCTTCTTTGCACATTTTTGTGTTAACAAGGAATAGGGAAAAGATGAAAAAAAGACAAACAGTTTTTGTCTGGTCCTCTCAAATATGATTGGGCTTCCTGGAATTGGGACTTTGTCTTCTTCTCGGTTGAAATATTTCGCTTGAAAATTCTTCCAAAAGTAGTTCCTCGCTGTCATCGAGCTGAATGAAAT